AGATACCAAAATCGTGAGCTCTGTCCCCTTTAGATGCAGCGTTGACATAATAAACTGGCACAGTTTCTCGTGTGATGCTGGAGTTACAGTGTCTGTGTCGTAATAGCTTCACATCAGTGGGGGAAGTATAGAGTCCTTCAGAAATGTCTTGCTGATTTTAACCTCAGTTACCCCGGGACCAGCAACTGTGCCCTGTCCCGACTCGTCTGCATTAAGCTGTGCATTGATTAACTCCAGCTAGAGGGCAGCCACCCTTGAAATGTTGGGGCCTTTACACGTTGTGACAAACCAAAGTATCCCCGCAGTGTCATTAGATCACCTCGCCACTTCCAATTAGCGGTCATCTCGGACCCCCTTTCACCTTGCTGGCGGGACGGAGGAGATGCAGCAGGTCAGATTAACAGCCTGCTCCTCTCCCAAAGGTCCGACACTCTCATCAATTATTTATCCACGCACAGGCAGACAAAATATAACACACCCATCCCGTACCAGGACCAACAGCTGCGAGTTAGAGGTGGGTAAAGAGGACTCAGGCTGCAATAAGGCAGTATAGAAAAAGGGGAGGGATACACTCACACACAAGGCGAGGCGCCATCACCACATCATCTGCACCTCCTTGTCTGGAGTTGAACTTATTCAGAGTTGTCATGGCGACATAATTTACTCTTCCAGAGGGGCTTTTCTTCTCTGTTTCATATTGCATTATAATGTTCGTGGTGGTTAAAGGGATTGGGGGGGGGGGGGTTAGTATGGCTAGATGGTTATGATGTACTGAAAATCCTTTGATCTCATTTTGTATGCTAATGAGTCTGGTCTCGTGTATGCACTGTAAAGCCTCTCTTTGCCTTTGTTTATTTAGATGTTTCTCATGTGTGTGTTTATCCTTCAGACACGATTGTGTCATGTTTGTGTCATTTGCATGACCCTCATTCCAGAGATAATTGCAGCAGTCATGAGGTTGCTTTTTTTCCCCTGTGTTCTGGTGTTTACTCGGGCAGATGCCGCCAAAACCTCCACAACTGTGGCGTCTTGCCTGCTCGGTAGCCCGACTGTAAGTAAGCCCATCTCGCGTTGCAGACTTCTGTCTCCCTGTAGCACACTCGCTGCACCCGCAGCACTCATCCACAAGCAACACACTCAGTCACACGCTCTCTCGCATGACTACACAAATGCACAAACAGGACCTCAGCCTTGCCTGGCTCACGCACACCAAACACTCGCTTACTCACTCAGGAATTATCGTGGTAGTAAAACCAGAGAGGAAGAGTGAGAGACGACCGAGACTGAGATGGGGGGGGGGGCAAGAGGGAGGGAAGAGGAGAGCAATTGCCCCAACAGAAGTATTTTATCCCCGAGCGGTTATTTAACACTGCCATGTCCATGAACCAGTCAGGAGGACAAGCCATTGTTCTATTGAAGCACATGAAGCAACGCCGATGTACGAAATTTTAGTTGCAGCAGTTTCTTTTTGAAAGTGAAAACTTTTTATATTTTTACATGGAAAGTCTATTCTACACATGTTTTGCATGACTAATAAAAAAATATGAGTCTTAAAATCTTGTTCCAGATGTGCAATGCCACTGTTTCAGTTGTAGTGGCTGGATAAATGCTGAAGAGTCCAGCATCATGTCTTCTGAAGGATATGACAGATGTGTCCTGGAGTGTGTTTTTCTGCTACGCTCACTTTTCTCCCTGTGTTTACGTCCCCTATTCTTGCACAGTGTGTGTGTGTGTGTGTGTGTGTGTGTGTGTGTGCGCACTCTCTCCCCCTGGTCCGCTTCTTTGGCACAAAAAGGAAGACCAGGCCGCCCCATCCTTTGTTTTGTGTCTTGTAGGAAACTAGCTGCAAATTGTGGCTCAATGAGGCGTTGCTGTTTTGTATGGTCTGATAAAGTGCAAACGAAACCGTCTGGGCCGCACTGGCCTTCTGCAGTGTTTTCCATTGTAGAGCAGCCCTTGAATGTAGGTCTGTGTGATGGTTGGTTAGTGTTGAACATTAGGTGATGGGGTAGGGGGGCGTCTGGGGGCAGGGACCATTCATACAGTTTTAAGATGTCACCCCGTGTTTGGAGCTGCTGTCTGCTGTGTTTAATTGTGATGAGAGATGATTAGCGCTCCTCTTAAGACTGGAGTTGTCTGTCTCGCTCGCTTTCAGGGGGTTTTCAAAAATCCCAATATTGTAGAGTTCTCAGATAGCGCCAACATGACACACTTGTCAAAGTGATCAGAGCAGGGCATATGTGTGTGGGTGTATTGATGTGCATGTGGGAAATATCCCAGTTTTTACTTCAATGCATTCATCCAACACCTGCAGTAACTACTTGTGTTAGAAATGAAAGGAATGACTCACAGAATATGCGATCATTTCCTGAAGATTTTGTCCTCCAAGCTGAGCCGGAAGCAAACAAACTACGTTGACGTGATCTTAAGAGTTTATTTGATCAACTATTGAAACATTGAAGTATGGAAGCAGTGAAGTATGGAAATATTGTTAAATAATGAGCACATGTCAAGAAAAATGTTGTGGATTGGATAACATGCACTCTACTTATGTTTTATTTTTACTGTGGTAAAATGGGATTTTCTGATTTTTCAAGAATAAAAATCAAGTTGTTTCTTTTTCCTGGAGGTGACAACACAGATGCATTTCTTTATCACAAATACAGAAAATCATGTCAAATTTAAAGGAGGTGGCTTTTCATACAACATGTTCAGCATCATCCCATCATTCCTTGGTTTATATATTTCAATGCACAGCGAAGAATATGCCATGAAGATCCAGATCAAGTTCACCAAGTCAAGCAAAACAAACACACATAGCTAGAGATGGACAAAGCAGGAGGCTCTTGGGTGTGCCATGGCCCCTGTCTAAAGCAGTTACGGGGCCCACATGGGTGTTGGGGTAATTATCTGCCAGGGTGCACGTGTAGGAGTGTGAGTAAATGTGTAATGTGCTAACGTCTGTAGGTGCACATGGGACTGTTGCGCTGTCTGAACATCCTGTCCTGTGGCCCCCCAACGAGATGAAATGCATATCAGCTCATCTTTATATGCTCCTTCATGCTTGTATGGTGTATACGTGCCCTCCCAAACCCCCACACACTCACATCCACCTCTTCCTTACACCCCAAAGGGAGTCTCAGAGGAGGGGTGTGGCCGAAGGGAAGGGGCTGAGGAGCCATCTTTGACATGGGGCATGGGGCCCGAAGACACAAAGCCCCATTCCCTGCTCCTCCATGTGGAAAATGGCAGGAGAGCGAGAGGAGGAGGGGAAGGGGGCAAGAAAAAAAAGTGGAGGAAAGAGGAGGAGGGAGCCACAATTAGTGGGATCTGCTAATCACCAGGGCAACACTCATTTAATTGACATGTGAAATTTGAATTCATCTAACAAGTCGATAGGCAGCACAATGGACCAGTCATCTGAGGACCGCTGGTGGAAGCCAAGGAGGGGAAGCGACAGCTCAGGGCTGAGGCCAAGGTCTTTGTTAGAATTAAAAGTGTTGTTGGGTGGGAAGGTTGTCCACCAGGAGATTATAACCCATTATGCCTTTGACCCTTTTGGATAAGTAACTCCACGACTGCCCCTAGACTGACACACACACATGCACACACACGTAACACGGCAAGGGCTGTTTATGTATGTTCTTGTTTTTCTTTCCAGCAGAAGGCAGAGTGAGTAAACAACATTTTTGTACCACAATAAACCCGACCCTGATAATGCGAATGGCTCTGAAGAGAAAAAAAAAAATACAAAAGAAGGAGGGAAGGGGAAAAACTGCAGCGTGTCCACTCCGGCTCTTTCAGAAATCAATAAGCTATTCAAAGTCATCAGAGAGCAGCATCACTGTCATCCAGCTGCTGCAGGAAGTAAAACTCTGCCACACTAACTCTCACTGCCACTGGGAGAAGAGACACGGAGAAGATGCAAATGTTTACTCACTTTTCATTTCTTCAGGATATTATAAAAACACACTGAACAGGTGCTTCTGTGTACTTTAGGGTTTTAGTTTGTAGAGAAGTACTTGTACTTACAGCCTGTAAGCAAGAAATAACTGTAGAACTATTGAACATGTTAACAGTGTCATTGTCAGCTTGTTTGAGTGCCAATGGACATGAACAATGCTTTAACTACAGATATGCATTTTAATGTTTGTGACATGAAACTATAATTGCACTCAACAGTCCCCTTATGCAGTTAAAGGTACAGTGTGTAGAATTTTGGGGTATCTAGTGTCGAAATTGCATGTTACAGCTGAACACCCCTCACCTCACCCTCTCCTTCCAAACATAAAAAAGAACCTGTTGTAGCCTTTAATTGTCATAAAAACTCAAAAGGTGTTTAGTTTGTCCAGTCTGGACTAATGTAAAAAACATGGCCGGATCTGCAGAGAGGGTCCCCTCAATATAAATATAAAGTATTTAAATATAAAGGACCATTTCTGGGGTAAAGAAAACTACAATTCATACAATTTAGATAAAACAAACTAGTGAAAACATCATGAGGATTATTTTACATGAATTATTCTCTGAGATATTAAAGGAAATGTATAGAATAGAAAAGGATCTGCCCCTTTATCAAGATCTTTCCAACAAGTTTTGTAGAAATTCATTCAGCTGTGTTTTTGTAATATTGCTTAAAAACATATAAACCAACAAACAGACATGGGTGTAAATATAACCTAATAAAAAGCTTTAGAGAAAAGATTTGTGTATAGTTGATTAAAACTGACTTTGGGACATTTTATCACAGAAACAAAAAGAAACATGGGCAGACCATAGGACTTTAAATTAATATATATTTATCTGTTATCAACAGATACAGATAACAAGGTAATGATTTCCAAATCATAGTGAACATGTTTAAAGAAGTGTTATCAGAGCAACTAGTCCTCAAAAAGTAGCTTTTTCTCTAAATCCAGCTGAACCTCCCCTCCATTTTTAACACATTTGGTTCATTCCACCAGGAGCACTTCCTTAAAAGGAGTTAGAATAGGCCAGCCCTGGTTTGTCACTTCCTGGTTCTAAACGTGCCTTGTTAGCACAGGTAAGAAAATCAAACACAAACATTTCATGAAGGAAAACTTCAACTCTGTGTGATTTGTTCTGGAAATACAACATAATTATAACAAATTAATACAGAACAAACTTTACCCACTGAAGTTTTGGAACTGGAGCCATTTCTAAACAAAATAGTAAAAATAGGCGGTGGTGTCTTACTCGGATTAAAGTTCACACAACTCGCCTTATTTGTTTTTATTTTATCAGTTTGTGTTTTGACCACTTTCTTATTAGTGATAATAACATTAATTTGCACATTAGAACATTGAATAAAGAGGTTTTGAGTTTTACCTTTGTAAAACCCTCCATTTTAGCTAAATGTGTGTAAAGGACCAACATCTGTGTAACTCTAAATTGTTTACTGTACTTACTCCACTTGAGCTCCCATTGTTTTCCTGTGCATAGATTATACAAAGATTAAATTGCTGCTGCCATTTTGGTCCCTCTCACTCGCAGATTTACCTCCAGACAAAGTGGTTTAGATAATCTGGTTAAAGTGTTGGCTCGTTTCCATCCTGTCATCTAATCATCTAACCATTTTACTGTGCTTCCAAAGCAGCCTTTTCATTGGGACATGCAATATATTTGCCTAAACTCCATAAATCACAGTCATGTGGTATTAAAACAACTTTTTAGATTAAACTAATTGTGATTTATTTTGTCTTAAGTGGCCTCCCTGGTCTGGGTGGAGCTGACGGAGAGCTGCAGACCTGGATCGAACCGGCTGCTCATACCTCTGGTGAGTCCCATTCACTTCAGAACACTGTAAAAGTGCACAGCATCACAGATTCCTGCTTCCTCATTCCCCCATCAATCACTGCTTAATCTGCTCGTTCTTTAAAATATATTTATTTTGGGACATTTGAATCACCTCCACATCACCACCTTGTACTTTCCAAATGTGCTGTGTGTTTTTGATCTGTCGCTCTGCTGACATGCCCACTGTCAGAGGTGACTTTGTAGAAGTGGCAGAGATTCAGAGGAGACTCTAGATACTTCCAAGTCTCTCAGCCAGAGTGTAATCCTCTTCCTTTATCTCTGCGGCTGATCTGGGCCAAAGCGCTGTTGTGTGAGAATGATTCAATGACTGCTTACTATATTGTAGCCAAGAGTCACGTTCCCTCTTCCTCACCCACCACCTTGCTCTTCTTCTCTAATTCTCATCTGCACTTCTGTTGTTCTTTCAGCCTCTTACAAAATGACCTGCACTGTGTGTGTACCACAGTGATCGCTGACATGATGCTCCTGTCTCTTTTTTTTCCTGATAGAAGATAATCTCTATCACACACTGGCACACACAGACCCCACCTTGCACTACACACCAGACATTCAACTTGGATTATGTCCAAGAATCACAGCTGGATTGGCGTGTGTGTGTATACTGTAGATATGTGTGTATTTCCAGTGGGGGTGGGGAGTGGGCTTCATCTGGGGCGTCCGATTGGCCCACTGGCACAGGAGCCAGGCAAGATGCTGATTGGATAGATGTATGGAGACTAGCGTGCAGGTTTCTGTGTGTGCCATGCTGCTCTGCCTCCCAGAGCGCTGGCCAATAGCTCTGCATATTGGATGCATTACAGATTAGAGTCAATGTAACTGTGTGTGTGTGTGTGTGTGTGTGTGTGTGTACGCTGCTCAACTGTGCAAGAGCACTTTTATCCTCTATGAACAAATCTGCAGTGTTTCCATTCAGCGAAGTGATCACGAAATACATTTGCCTCTGCCAGACTAATCATTAATTATTAACGGCAGATTTGACTTGACGTTCCAGATCGATGCAGCAGCCACTCACCATTACAATGCTAAGACTGCTCTAAAATTCATTTTCAATCAAAACCCGAGGATGAGAATGATGATGTGGGACAATTACCACATGATTTACAGAAGAGGGCGTGAGCCGCCCAAGCACAGATTTTTTAAAGATTCAAGGATGCAGTAATGTCCTAAAGTCAGAAAATGATAAAGATGAACTATAGCTGCCTATGTCTTGTTTTTGGTTTTGACTTCTTTGACTGAACTATACAGAAAAATAAAATTCATATCATGTTTTCATCTGCATTTGTTAGATAGTTTATTAGGATTACACACAAACTACTGAATTCATTTTTGACATTTTCACCAATTTCTAAGGGAAAAATTCATGGATGTGGCACATTTAGGGGATTGATATCTTTCAGTGCGTGTCATTTGGTGCTGTTTATTTGAATTTAAGGAGACTGTTGGGCCTCGGTGGAGGAATGTGCTCTACTGAGTTCAATTCTAGTTACTAAATTAAATCCAGGATCATTGTACTACATAACTTGAAGTAATCAAAAGTCCACAATCTGTGTTGATAACACTTCTTCAGCCAAAAATGCTACAAAGCTGATGAATGGTTCTATTTTTGGGCTTTGTAGAGAAATGTTTAGTTTTAGTTAAGAATGTGGCATTGACGATGAGTGGTTCAACAAAAATCTGCTCAGGACCCAGATGGAATTGTTACTCGAAAAGAATTAAGTTGTGTCTTTTTAAGCGTGGTCCGGTTTTACCTCCTTTGTTGTGTGCTCTCCATCCGTGACCTTTTCATCCTGACAATAGAGAATGGGTGAGGAGGAGAAGGCTGAGGGTGAAAAGTTAGAATAGAGAAGAGAGGAGATGTGAAGTGAACAGTCTCTTATATACTCTTCTCCCTGACAGAGTCTGGCCAATTAGAGGTCCCGACTCTGTCATTACGCTTGTCAACATCATCCAGTGTAAATGATGGAAGCACAGGGCCAAACCACCGGGGCTTATCATACATGAGGCGCTGACATGTGGTAAAAAACATCAACTAAATGTGACTGCACATGCACACACAACACCCATATGAACAAGCAGGAGCGTCATTACAGACACGCACATGTACACACTCACAAAAAAAACATCAGCACGGCCACACACACACACACACACACACACACACACACACACACACACACACACACAGCTGAAAACATGGTGTTAACCCTCGGCAGGCTCTCCTATGCCTACCTGTAAAAAAAAAGATCACCTGGCTGGTGTCTCAATCTTCTTCGGTGCTTAGCGTAGCTTAAACCAATCATCTGGCTCAGCAGCTCTGATTCCCGCTCACCCTCTTTACCAACTCTCACTCTCTCTTAGTCTTTTTAAAGCGTGTCAGCAGTAGTGAGGCTGCTAACGTGGCTAAGTGTCCCTGGGCCTCTTAGTTAGTGGGTGCCGTGTGTGTGTGTGTGTGTG